GAATGGGAGAGGGAGAAGCAGGCTTCCCGCGGAGCAGGGAGCCCGATGCGGGGCTCGATCCCAGGACCCTGGGACCATGACCTGAGCCAAAGGCAGACGTTTAACGACTGAGCCACCCAGGCGCCCCGGTTCTTGAGTTCTTGGCTCAACGGGATGAACGATGAGATAGAATCTGTTAGTTTCTCCTGTTGTTTTGTCTATTTGTCTGCTTTGAGTTCAAATCACTGAAGAAGTCATTCCTACTAGGAAGAGAGCAGCCCTTTGATATGGTTCAGTGAATTTTGTAATTCTGTATTCACACTTTATCCAGGGCTGAAATTTTAGAATTGAAGCCAGAAGCTCTTTGTGTCCATATGTGTTTATGTAATTTACAAAGGCCTTTACCTCTCATCGTGTCCCTGTGTAATATTTTCCTTCCTCCGAATGATATTATCCAGGCCCTCTTCCTTTTCTTGAGATAGTCCTCTTAATCAACATTTTCCCTATTGTAACAACCTGGATAAAATCATCCTTTTAATTGTCTGGTGTGTTTTGTCTTTTGCAGGTGAGATGATCTTTAAGTAGGATACAGGATAACGATATGTGACCACATGTTTTACCATCTAGGATAGTTTGGAGCATGAAGAGGATACTAACAAAGTAAACATATAATTTCAAAGAACAGTTGATTTTTTACTAAGAACTATTTTATGGAGCGCCTGGGTGGCTCAGTCGGTTAAGCATCTGCCTTCATCTCAGGTCCTGATCTCAGTGTCCTGGGATCAAGTCCTGTCGAGCTCCCTGCTCAGCGGGGAGTCTGCTTCTCCCTCTTCCCTATGCCCCCGCCCCACCCCCCACTGCCTGTGCTCTCTCTCCCTCTCTCTCAAATAAATAAATAAAATCTTAAAAAAAAAAAAGAGCTTTTTATGAAGTTGGTAAACATATATAATGGTTCTATTCAGATATTTTATTCAAAATACAATTCTAAAAATAAAAATTATGTACACTGAAACAAAATCTTTTTATACTGATCATCAAAACAATCCTTCAGATTATACCCAGAACAATATTAAAAATAATGTAAGCATTTAAAAAAATTATTCTGGGTACATATTCCTTCATTTTAATTCATTTCCTGGCTGTATCTGTCTACACAATCATTACTATCTTTCCAGAGAGAATATGTGTCCTATTTTTAACTTTTTTATAAACTTGCCATCAATCTTCACATTTATATTTTATGGCTGATGTATTTGAAGCTGACCTTTGTCAGCAGGCCGTATTTTTCACTGAGAAAATACTCCCTCTGCAGGTGTTGCTGTACCTGCTAAGGTCAGAGCAAACGGCACTAAATGGAGGTTATCCGCAATTCTAATTATTTCCTATTGAAGTCTGAAAATCTCTCAGCCCAAAGAGCCTCGTGTGTCCTGTTTCAATCCCATTCTGAATATTCCTTAAACAAATATTTCTATTAGATAACACTGATCAGATCACTTCTCTACTTATGATTCTATTGAAGATTAAGCCAAATTAAGATGCTACTCAATGTTCTAGTAGAGAATATAAATTTATCCAACTAAAATTAGGAGCACCATCAAAAAATGCTTTCTCCACGTGGAGATATTCCCAAAAAACACTTGGGGTATTTCAAAATTGTATCTTGTACACCCCTTGGGTGTTTATTGGTTTTACTAGCTCAGGTCCTTCCTTGCTTTTGTTTCATTTCAATCTCTTCCTGTTTGCAAACTCTATTTTTAGTAATTGAAATTTGCTGAACATGTCAAAAGCTAAAATTTTTTGATGCTCTTTCTTTGTGCATTGAAGATTATACATTATAGATTTCCAACTGATTTTGACAAAATACAACTAAAATGTAGAGGACTATTTTATATAAAAGTTCTACATATCACAGAACACTTATGTTGGTTTACAAAGTAGTTCTTTAACTCCCGATATCAAGAGTCACATGCTCTACTGATTGAGCCAGCCAGGCGCCCCTAACTGCTAGAAGTTTCTAAAAGCCAACTTATGGCAGGCAGGAGAGAGAGTGAATATTGCCATGCTCCACTGTTTTTCTTTAAATCAACAGCTTCATCACAAAAATTCTGAGTTTCAGTTACTCTGTTCACATTTAAAAATCTATTTATTTGACAACTACTGTTTCCATTTTGATTAGAATATTACAACTTATATGAATGAAATTATAAAAAATATGTAATATAATTCCAAGTACATTTCTGTGCCTTTAGGATTTTTTTCCCATAAGAATATTGTTTAAAGGTATACAACATGGTGGTTTGATATATGTATACATTGTGCAGTGATTACCACAATCAGGCTATGTAACATACCCATCACCTCACATAGTTAGCCTTTTTTTAGGTTTGGCGAGAACACTTAAGATTTACTCTCTCAGGGGCGGCTCAGATCATGGTCTCTGGGTCTTGGGATCGAACCCTGGGTCGGGCTCCATGCTCCACGGGGAGTCTGCTTGAGATTCTCTCTTTCCCTCTCCCTGTATCCCTCTCCCTGTATCCCTCTCCCTCCCTCTCTCTTTCAAATAAATAAATTAATTTAAAAAAAATTTAGTCTCTCAGCCAATTTCAAGTCTATAATATAGTTTTCTTAACTATAGTCACCAGGCTATACAGTGGCTCCCCAGAACTTATTCCTCTTATAATTGAGAGTTTGTATTCTTTGACCAACATCTACCCACTTTCCCCCACTCCTCAGTCCCTGGTAACTACCATTCTACTCTCCCGTTCTAGGAGTTCAATTTTTTTTAATTTCCACATATAAGATGATATAGTATTTTTGTGACTTATGTCCCAGTAAAGCTGGAGGAAAGAAAAGAAATTTTATAACACGATTCTAAGGTCCTCAAAGTTTTGTGAAGAAACCCCTTCAGTAAGATATGTGATACTCTCTGGAGGCAAACTTCATTTGAGCTTCCTTCTCGTTTTCCAACTATTAATGAGTTTAAGCTAAGGCACATTGTGTTTTTACCACAAACATTATGACCACAAATACTGAATTTGCCAAGGCTACAGGTTCACTTGAATGAGATTTCAGATTTTAAATACTGAATAGCTAGGAAGTGTCATCTCTCAAGCATGTCATCGGCCTTTTCAGCATTACTTAAGGAACTACAGGACAGCAGTGGTAATGTCTGTTTTAGGCAGCACATTACCAAAGGTTCATCTTCAGTTTCTCAAGGAGTGAGGGGTGGAAGGCCTACTCTGAACTTTTGTGCAGCTAGAAGAGATGGCATTATTTGAACTGCCTGAACTTAAAGCCCCATTTTTTTTTTTTTTTCACAGTGCTTGGGTTTTATTTAACATCATGTCCATGACCCAGGGCCAGCTTGGAATCCCCAGTCAGGACAGAGTCACATGGCCCACAGCTCACCAGGGCCCCCACTCTCCCAGTCCACCCTGTGCTGACATAAGCCAAGGGGCCCCCATAAAGTAGGCGTGGGACTCAGTTCACTTACAGGTTTTTAGAACCCTTGTAAAATGGATTCCCAGAGCAGCCGCTTCTCCCAGAAAACTCCCAGGAAACTCCGACAGCGGCGGTGGGCGGGTCAGGGTGGGCTCCTAGGTGCTGGTCTTTGGTTTTGGTCTAAGCTTGCTCCAAACTCTCTCCAGGGCCACTTTTCCCATGACGAAGGTGATGGCAAAATTACGCTTGTACCAGTCTCTGTTATAATACATGTGCTTCAGAAAATTTTTACTTAAAAATTCCTTGTAAAAGTCAGCCATTTCTTCTGCATCTAATGTTGCTTTTTGACCTGATCCAGCTCCCAGTTCCAGGCCTTTAGCTTTTAGTCTTGAGTGAATAAATTCTTCTTTTTCCTTACGGAAATGTCAAATTCTGGTTTGCCCAGAACTGTTTGTTCCATTCTTGTGTTTCTTGTCTTAATTGTCTTAGCTTTTGTTCCAACGGTGATTCATTTTCGGGGACGTAAAAGTAAACAGGTCGAAGGTTTGAATGTTTATCTGGGGGTCCTATCCAATCATGGCAAGATTTTCTTGGAGGGCAGAATCCTGAGACCCGGCCGGACGCCGCATCCCTGCGCTCCGCGCCGCGCTCAGGGGCGAGCTGACAGCCGGGGCCAGCGAAGGCACGGCAGAGCGGAGGGAGAAAAGCCCTCCCGGAGCTTCGCAAGGCCGCCATGGCCAGTGTCCCCATTTTTTTTTTTTAAAGATTTTTATTTATTTATTTATTTGACAGAGAGAGAGAGACAGCGAGAGCAGGAACACAAGCAGGGGAAGGGGGAGAGGGAGAAGCAGGCTTCCCACCAAGCAGGGAGCCCGATGCGGGGGGATCATGACCTGAGCTGAAGGCAGACGCTTAACGGCTGAGCCACCCAGGTGCCCTTAAAGCCCCATTTTAAGCATCTGGGGAAGCAGCAAATCTCTGTTGTAAAAAAAATAAGTAAATACCTAAGTCTGGATTTTCAAAAGGGCATGATTCATCCACTTAAGAGCAATGAACTAGTCTTTTGGTGTGATTTCTGCTTTTTTGGTATAAAGTATAAATTGCAATTCCATGTTTCTAATACTCTAATCATAGACTGCAAAGAGACCAAGAAGGACAATTAATAAGTTGAAAACTGCAGTGAACTTATTACAGTAGCAAGAGCAATTGACGTTATTCCAAGTGGTATTTTTGCTGTAAGAAAGGTTATTGAGGGCGCCTGGGTGGCTCAGTTGGTTAAGCGACTGCCTTCGGCTCAGGTCATGATCCTGGAGTCCCGGGATCGAGTCCCGCATC